TGTGCACGCTGATCACCTCTTCCTCATGTCCCAGGGAAGACAAGGATGAGCCAAAAGCAATGTCATGTAGGAATAATGCAGGGATACCTCAGGAGGGACATGCAATCTTTGTACCAGTTAAGAACAGAAAAGCCACGGTGATGCCAGAGGTTTGGAAAATCATTTCCCAGAAATTTTGGTCATTTATTCCTTTTCTGCTTTGAGTTTGATTATATGAATGGGCATACACCAGCAGGAGGTGGCACCCCAGCCCATACTAAGCATGCTGGCTGGGTATGCAGAGCTCTGACACAGAGCGAAACTCACCTCTAGGTCACTGAGCTTGCATGCACTTAACATGCAAAGCATGCACCTGGCTTGCTTTGTCCAGCAGATAATGCAATCTTACACAAGTCATGATGCAAACATTTACAATTGGCACAAAAATCTGTGCAACAAACCCAGCTCTAAATCCAACATGTAAAAGGGCATCTAGGCTTGCTCCCTCAAAATGACAGCTGTGCTTGGACCAAGATATAACCTGGTGGGAACACCAGGAAATGGTCACTTCTTCCATGAACTGTAGTCGACCCCTAAGAGGGCACAGATCAATCATTTACTAGACAGAAGCTGCAGAGCTTGTCAGAAAACATTAGCCATCCTTGCCAAGCTTTCAGCCCATCTATATATGTCAGTACCATTTCTGTCAGGCTTAAAAGAGGTCTTATGAAACATTTCTGAAACATTCTTTTCTGCTTGTTTATGGCACTTTGCAGGGCAGATGATTTACGTGATTTGGGGCAATGTCACAACTGCCACATGCATTTTCATGAGTGTGCTGGTAAATGCACTGGTTTTCCTGCTTCAAATGTCCAGGCAGCAGGTCTCACTGGTTTAAGAATGGAACAAGCTGCTCTGATGAAGAGCTTCAGTTAGACAAGCTTAGTCCATGAGCTGCAGTAGGACAGAGGCCAGGGATGTGACTTTACAAGGCACAGCTGCTGGATGCTACTTGCATCCTCGTGCTGGACATGCAAAACTGTCATGGCCAAAGCATGTTTCTGAACACTCACACAAAGCCTGACCAGCTCAGCAGAAGCCAGTCTTCAGGAAGGCTTCCCTACTAATTCAAGCAGGTGTTGCAGGCTCTTCAGGTCATTTTGCCCCTCTCCATCTGGGGAGCAAAGTATATGGGTTCCCTCCATCAACACCAAGAAGAAATCAGATGAAGAGCTGTCACCTCTGCAGGGTCTTCCTGAGAAAGTTTCCAAACCAAAAAAAAGCTGTATCAGGATGACAAGAAGAAATATGGCCAATGAATGCATGCAGGTAGAGGAGGACAAGGGGATTGTTCCATCCATCTCTCACCAGTTTCTCTCTAAACATTTGAACTGAAAATAAAAAGGTGAAGAAATACACCACCAGCACCAAAAAGCCAGACCCAGAAGCTCTGAAATGCATAAGATTTGGGATCTCAGGCAAGACTATGCTTTCCATGAATGTGTGCTTATTGCAGTCATGAGTGAGTAGTGTCACTGACCTTGAACGACCTCAAGGTGGGGTGGACCAAACTCTGAGCAACTTGATCTTGAACTAGATGACCTTTAAAGGTCCCTTCCAACTCAAACAGCTTTATGATTCTGTGAAGAGGCTGCATGTGAAATATGACAAAGCAAAAAGTAGCAGAGAGAGATTAGATAGTGAGCATGAGCCCATTCCTCATATCTGTTCATACCTGCTTTCACATGCAAACTCCTGCTCCAAAGCGCTGAATATCTGCTGCTTTGGCTTCAAGTCTGTGCAGGGATCTCAGTCTCAGATGGATTTTCTGGTACATACTGCATTTCTTGCAAGAACCACCTCTAGCAGTGGGATTTTTACTTCTAACCTATGACACAGCCTGCGTGGGCACACAGCCAGGACTGCCAGCACCCCGCCTCCCTGCCAAACCGGTTATAACCACGTACTTTGGCTCCACACACACTACACAAACCTTTCGCCTAGGAGAAGGGGCAAGTGCCTGGACTCACTACAAACATTTGGAAAGAGGAGCTCCATTAATATGACACAAAATAGAACGCCTGGCTGGGTGCTGAAGGGGACAGCAAGGGATGGAGATGCTCGCCAGGGGATGCCACGCTCTCCTGCTGCCCCTGCAGGAGGGAAGGCTGCATGAAATGGAACACATCCAGCAGCAAAACTGAACCAGAGAGGGCAATAGGAATGGTTTTGTTGTCTTCCCCCACAACGCCTGATATGATTAACTATAGGGAGGCTGCCATGACTCCTTGATGACACATGGCTTCAGCAGACAGGGCCAGAACTGATGTTGATCTCAATGAATCAGTGGAATGATTTGAAGTCAAACAAGATTAGTTTCAAGGCAGACATGGGCAAAGCAAGGGAGGGGAAATAAATCAAGGGTGCAGTGCCCAAATGGAAGTAATTGGGCTGGCAGAAGGGCTCTCCATTACAAGGATGAGTTTCAAGCTGAATGTGAATATATACAATGATGATTGCTTTTCTAAAGCATCTCTCACTGTGGGAAAATGCATGCTGAGAGTGCACAGTGGGATGCACTCCTGCTCAAAGGCAGAGACCCAGCTGAAGTGTGGTGCTTGGCATGGGGTCCCCTCATGGTGATGTGCATCCCTTCTTGGAAGGGCACAGGGAGAGCCCCAAGGGACAGGTTAGAGACCAGGCGTGGGGCAGAAGCCAGGAGAATTGAGTTTATTTGTCGTAGAGGAAAGATGACTTAGGAAGAGTTTTGAAGTGTAGAAGAATGCTGGTGGCTTTCTGTCCTCAGTGTGCTCTGCCTTCATCTTCCCTGAAAGAGCACAGTTGGGGTCCATCACCTGTCCCACAGAGCACAAGGCACTGATGAAGAACCACGTGCCTGTCCCTGTCCCCTCTCCATCCCCCAGCTGGAGGATGAGCACTGCTCTACAGTATTTACCTGCCCTTGTAAACAAGTTATGAAAGCAATCCCCAGCAGCCTTTCTGGCTTTATTTGTGTTGCAGTCTGAAGTTCATGTCCCACCGGCAGCGAGGTGACTCATGAACATGTGGAGACAAGCCTGCCAGCCAGGCTCTATATGGCTGTTTCACTTCCTACCTGCTGCAGAGCCCCATGGTGCTGGTACAGAGGGACAGCTGTCCTCCTCTGAACATCAGCCAAGCAAGGCAGGTTGATGTTATGCCACCACCATCATCTTGGACAGCAGTAGCATGGCCTTAGGCTGCATGTCAGCAAGGACCTAACCACCAGGGGAGCTGAATCCTATTTCCCAGATTTGTTCCCCAAAAAGAAGACAGAGGAAGACATTTAGCAAGGCTTGCTCTCAGTCCAGAATGGCTTCTGAGGAGCCCAACAGTACCCAAAGCACATACAGTACTACACACACAGCAAGTACTCCACTGTGCACATGCAGCCAGTGCAACATACTCTCTTTGTGTGGCAAGATGCCTCCTAATAAGTTCAGCCTCCTAAAAGCAGTTAATCTATGGGAAAGCAGTAAGGAAACACTGAGCACCCCACGATACCAGAAGAAAGGAAGCAGTGCATGGCAAGTACAAGGCAGCCTTTGCTCCCCAAGGCTGAGTTCATTCACAGTGAAGGCAAAGTCTGCAGGAATATCTGGGACCCCTCAGCACAGGACTTTTCATCAGCAGTAACTATCTTAGATACATCAGCTACTGCTGAAAATCCAGAAGGCAATAGCTGCTGTAGGAGAGCAGTGAGCAGGAGGAAGGGAGCTACACAGGGCTTCAGAGGGGCAAATGTAAGGAGACTGGTCTTCCAGGCATATCAGCTCAATGTTCCACTCTGTAAAATCAGACGAGGGTCCCTCGTTATGAGGCATCATGCCCCATTTCGCAGAAATGCTCATATCAGGCCTAGGGGATCCACCACAGCCGAGCCTAGCTGTGCCAGGGAGGCAAACAGCAGTAAGCCACCAATGTACACATGAACCCCAGAAAGAACAGGGAAGAAATGAGCTAACAGGATGCCAAAGTGAACACGTGCCTTAGGATCAACTTTGCTTAACCTTCCATCCACAGGGCGTCAGGGTGACAAACAGAACAGCCCTGCATTGCATTTCCTACCTATGCCTGACCAGAAGAGATGCAGCAGCCCACAGATCCCCATGATGTAAAGGAATTTTTGAAAATTTTCACATGGGTATCCCCTTTCCCCCATCCACATCCTGTGTGGGCTCCTCCAATGTCCTTTCTGGACATTCCTGGTGCCCAAGTTGTCCTCACTTTCCCAAGGTTGTTTCTTTTCAGGGACCTGTAACTCACTGAAGAGGTTTAGATCTGGATGTTCAGCAGTCAAAAATGAAGAGGATTCTTTCCAGAAGGAACAAAAAGTGTCTTCTCTGGAAGATTTGAGGGATTGATGTCCTGTGATCATATCTCCCAGCAACCATTGCCTACACATTTTAGGAGACGTGGCACTTTTCTTCCCAGTTTTCCAGATTATCTTTGGTCAACAGCTAGAGATGCAACATCAATGCAGTATTTAAAAGAGGATTATAAACAGGAGGGAGACCAACTTTTTACAAGGGTAGATAGTGACAAGACAAGGGGGAATGGTTTTAAGCTCAAGGAGGGAAGGTTTAGATTGAATGTCAGGGGGAAGCTCTTTACAGAGAGAGTGGTGAGGTGCTGGAACAGCTGCCCAGAAAGCTGTGGATATTCCACCCCTGGAGGTGTTCAAGGCTAGGTTGGATGGGACCCTGAGCAACCAGGTCTAGTACCAGATCTGAAGGTTGGTGGCCCTGCCTGTGGCAGGGGGATGAAACTTGATGATCCTTGAGGTCCCTTCCAACTCAAGCCACTCTGTGATTCTAAGATTAACATTCAAAGGTTTGATATCACAATCATGATCCTGTCTTCAGGAGATATAACTCTCCACCCCAAAGCAATCATCACTTCAGGATGCGATGTGAACAGTGCAGCAGGGATTAAGCCCAGGTGCTTTCTCACTCCTCTCAACCCTGACACAAGACACTTACCCATAAGGTAATTCTTCACCTTCAGGTATCCTACCGTCAGTCGCAGAGTGGAGACTTTATCAAACCTGGTGCATACATCTTCAGGGAAGGGCAGTAAGCCAGTCAGCTTGTTCAGTTCCTCATTGAGTCGATCTCGATGCCTCTTGGAGGGGTTGGACTTCACCCCCTCAGGAGGTGGTGGTTTGGGGCTGGAAAAGGCAAAGCACAGTTTGATTACGTGTGTCCAACAGGCTCTTCCCAACCCCAGAGCTGATGTTACTGCAGCCCCTCAGTAAAACACTGGCAGACCAAGGTAAGGCCATGAGACAGTAAAAGCAAGCCCCAACAAAGCCATGAGGCTGGGGACAACGTGGCCATGCCAGCTGGACACTCCATGCAGCCCCTGGTTGATGTCCTCCAGTAGGAACATGGAGAACCTTAACGTGTCAGCAGAATACTACAGCCTTACTCCCATTACCAAGCCTTGGCAGGGAAAGGGACACTAAGTGGAGACCTACAAGCCATCAGAACATCTCTTGGGGGTCTCATGAGAGCATCTTTTGGTCCGGTTAGACTCTTCCACCCACACTCCACTCTGCCTACCCTTGCTCCTTCCTCTAACTCCTAATCCTGTACCCATCCCACATGGCAGGCCCCTTCCCTGGCCCACTCCACATGCTCACATAAGCTCCTCAGCATGGCAAGTGCTAGCTGAGCTTCTCAGGGACTGCCCAGGGACTGATCAGCACTTGGCCAGACACTGGCAGTGAGCAGACTTACAGATAGTAAGAATGAAAAGTAAGAAGGTCCAAAAAGATGTATTTGAATTTTTCTTAGTTTCCTCTAAGTTGTCCTCCTGCAATCACATTTATCATCTTAAGCAGAAGGAAGCTCCACAACCAGACTTCTTTTCCTAACTCATAAAGAAGAGTCTGAGTGCTGAGCCTGAATCCACTCCTTTACTTGTTAACTGATGATACAAAGGGAAAGCACACATGAAAATCAATAGCAGTACTTGAATGAAGAGATACCACATAAGGTGGTTTAGGGCACAGTGCTTAGAAAACAGCCTTTCCAAGCTTATGATCTCTAATCCTTTCATATGGGCACTTCCAAACTAAACATTTGATGCCAGACTTAGGTTCTGGGACAAACTCTGAGCTTGCAGGTTCTGTGAGAGCAGCTCTTGTCTGTTACAAGCTGGCTTGGAGAGCCAATCTCATCAGCTGCAGTTATTACACACTCACCACCACTGAAGTCCCAGCCACAGTGGTTAGAGGTTTAGCTAATGACTTACATGAATCTGGAATGTCACCTTGTCTCCTTTGGTTTCCAATTTTTCAGCTTGAAGAAAAACAGTTTAGATTTCATGAGGGACCCACACCCCACTCTGTATTTGGTTAAATTGCATCTCCTAACATGCACTCTGTATTGTTTTGATGTAATCTGTGTAACCACAAACTCTACCTCCACAAAGCAGCTTCAGATAACAGGATCTGCCAGTAGTTAGAAGCAGTTTAAGCTCTCCCCTCTAATACTGCTCTCAAATCCCATCTGGCAGGACTGCTCACATGTGTGACAAGAGGGGAAATGAGTACTAAATGAAACACAACGAGGTGCCTATTGAATTTTCATTACGGAGAGCTACTGATGGGTCTAAACATGGATGGAAAATTTCTCCAGAAAACCTCAGTCGGGCTGTTTTGTAAGATGAGAATCAGGATGGACAGACCTTGTTTCTAGAGAAATGAGGTATAACTCATCACCAAACTTATTTACACAAGCCAAGCAGAACACTGGCACTGATGCTTTGATGCACACCGTTAGCCACTGGCTTAACAAACCCTTCTGAAACTGCAGTCATCAGGGAAGATAAAATGAAATAGTTTTCAATTAGAGCATCAAGGAAAAAAACAACAACAAACACCCAACAGAATACGAGGTGAATTAAGTAATTCTGACTTTCCTCAGATATCCTTTTCTTTAAAGATATCTGAGGAAAGTCATATATATATATTTTATAAAATATATATATATTTTATAAAATATATATAGGATATCTGCACACCCGCTACACAGGTATGCTCCATAGAAAGGAAAAGGGAGCCAAGCAGGCAGTGCTGCCCTTTTTGGAAGGGGAAATACACAGAGACATAGCAGGGTCTCCTGGACAGCTCAGGAGCACCAATGGCACTTGCATATGTGGGGTGTATGGCCATCACCAAAGCACTGCAAGGAAAGGGCAGGAGGGCTGCAGAATTACACTGGCCCATTCATGTAGGCCAACACCATGCCCTGCAGCACTGGATCTCCAAACCATCCTCATCCTGCCAGAGAGAAATGTCTTCTGGGTGCTCTTCACTCTCTATGCAGTTATAAAGCTTCAAAGTGCAAGCCAGCAGGAAAACTGACAGCCTCCATCACACCCACTTTGCATGGGAAAGGCACAGACATGAGCACAACCATGTTACTAGCCACCAAAGAACCTGCACAGGTGAGCACCGTGGGGAAACCATGCATCCCCTGAAGGCAGAAACAGCAGGGTTTGGGCTGGACAGGTCCCTGTGTCTTGCCAAACCTGCTGAGATTCCCTGTCCCTAGGACAGGCTCCATGCACACCTCCCAGGCATTGTGTGGGGTCTCGGGGGCAACACACTGAGCACTGGCAGTTCCGTGCCTGCACAAGCAGTGAGGAAAATGCGTCTTGGAAGGGTCTGCATCCCACAAGCAGGACCTGCTTTCAGTCTTCTGATGCAGAAATGGTGCCAGAAATGATGAAGCTGCTGAGAAAAAAGCTACAGACCCTGCATTGGCCAGGGGGAGCAAGGACACGCGGAGCACTCGGCTGTGAGCAGGGCAAAGGCTGCAGTGCTGCCTCCCCAGCTGCCCTTTGGATGAGGAATCCAGCCGAAGTGTGGCACTTCTGCAAGCTGGCAGGTACTGAGGGTGCCCTGCACCACATCCAGGCGGATTGTGAAGAAACACTCCTTCCTCCATCCCAGGCTCGGGCTCAGCTCATCCCTCCTCCCCGCAGAAGCAGGCACCTGAGCCTCCCGTGTGCCTGCCGATCTCAGGCCGGTGCGACTGCAGCAAGCTGGGAGGAATGGGGCACTAAAGTTGGGAAACAGAGTCGGACCGTGACGGAGCCCCGCGTCTGAGTTTCTGAGGGCTGGGGAACTTCGGTGAATAGGGACCGCCGCACCTGCAGCCAAGCACAGCCGAGCATCCCCAGCTGCCTTCAGAAACAGCGCGGGCTGGCTGCCGTTTTACTTTACCCAGCAGCTCAGACCCCAGCCAGCACCAGCAGCAATTAACGCTAAGCAGGACGCAGAGCAGCCCTGTCCGCTTCCCAGGGCTCGTCCCGCAGCGAGCGCACGCCCACCCCCCAGCCCCGCGGGCAGGGTCTCCCTCCGCACCCACCTCCTGGGCACCGGCTTCTTTCTCTTCCTTCCGGCGTACATCCCGCCGGCAGCACCGAGCACCGCCGGCTGCGCCCGGAGGAGGAGTTTAAACGGGAGTGAAGCGGGGCGGCCCCGGCCCCGAGCCGCCCCTCCGTGGCCCTGCCCGGGCACCTGGCAAGACTGTCCCCGCTTCTTGGCCGCCGTGTCCCTCCTGCGACCACCCCACTCTCTTACCAGCTGGTGGAGAGGGGTTGTAGTTGTAGTAGAACCATAGAACCATAGAGTCACAGAATTTTTAAAGTTGGAAAAGACCTTCTAGACCGTCAGGTCCAACAGTCAGCCCATCCCACCACGGAAGCCCATGCCCACCATGCCCACCATGGCAGCTGGACAACGTGGGGCTGGAGGCATTTCAAAGTCACACTTCAGAGTGTTTCAGTGTGGAGGAGACATGCAGCCACTGGCAGAGATGAAAGTCTAAGCGGAAAGTTACCCTGAGCAGCACGTGCTATTTGATTGCTCCGTCCTGTGAGACCCTTTTGAACCCTTCCCATCCTCCTGCCTTCCTCCCCAGGACAAGGAGCTCCTGCCATCGCCAAACACTGTCACCAAACAGCGAGTGTGACCTGCGGGCAATGTGGGAACAGCTTTCCTATTCTCATGCATGTACAGAGGAATACAGGATGGCAGTTGGTTACATCTCTGGTCAAATTAAGATGATGTGACACTCGGGGTTCGTACATAAGAGGAAATAAAATAGGAATTTTAACAGGGGATTTCTACAAAACAGTTATACTGTATGTGTTGGCTCTCCCACAATTATGTTATGGGAAATTCAAGTAAGCTTTGCAATACTTAACAACTTCAAGAGAAAAAGAAAGGAAAAGAGAAAGATAAATGAATGGAGGTAGATAGATCACCAGTCCTGGTCTCAGCCCCTATGTATAATACCAAAAGAAAAGAGGAAGGGATGCTCTCCCCAGCCCCTGTTTGAAATGTAGTTGGCTCCAGTCCAGGACTGTTTGAGGCACCAGACACCAACCAAACCAAAATGGTGACAGCAGGACCCTTCTGTGGCTTAATGACCCTCAGGCACTGTTCTGGGCTCTTCCAGGAGTGACTGAGTCATCACCCCGAGCATTGCCTGAACTTGTCCCTCACATACCCTGGCATGTCTCTCACCCTACCCCATGGCTCAAACACCCTGAGGTCTCCTTTAGTAGTGGTGATATGCACATAGTGGATAGCAGGAGAAAAAGAAGAGACAAGATATAATAGAATCGTAGAATCATGAAGGATGGAAAAGACCTCTAAGATCATTGAGGCCAACCATCAATCTATCACCACCTCTCCCGACATTGCCCAGGTATGTTCCTTACAAAGTTTGTCCCTTACAATGTCCTGGTCACTCCCCAGCATCCTGGCAGCCCTGCAGCCCCACTTGTTTGCTGGGGTTCTCACAGCCTCTGTAGATGTTCCTACTCTCTTGCCGGAAGGATTTGCCAGTATGTTACAGACAGAAATGTTAAGGACAGAAAGCCAAACACATCAGCAGACAAAGTTCCAGCTTAGCCCACATATGGGCCCTTGTTCAGCCAAACTCCTTCAGCCTTGCTTTGCTGTGATGCTCTTCTCCCAGACTTCTCCCTAGCTTCTACGAGCCTCAGTGCCTTTCCAAAGCAACTCTGTGTTACTGTCCTCTACCTTCTGCCTGCTTTCCCCTGAGGAAAAACACCCAAGTGACCCCTCTACACCTACTGCAGGTGAAACTGGGCACATCTCTCGTTTTTCAAGCCTAAAACCAGGAGCAAAATGCCCAGAAGAAGTGCATATGATATTGGTATTTTTTAGTCTAGAAATGCTATTTCCTTCTAATTTTCTAACCTGGATCAAGTAGGGAAAGGGAGAGGGTGACCTCTCTGACAGTGTTTGCCCAGTTCAATAGGATGGGACCAGAGAAAATCTCCCAGGTCGTGAAGTGTTAACATAATGCCGAACTGTCCTGAAACAGCCACTCTGGACAGCCCTATCTGAATTAGCCTTTGGAAGCTAATTTCTTTTTATCTTTCATTTCTTTGCCAAGTGCTGAGTGTTGTTTTGTTTTCTGTTATGCAATCTTTTAAAAACTAGGCAACAGGTATTAGCTAAACCACAGCAGCAAAGATGAGGAAGGCAGTGTGGGCCACAGATTATAAAATAATTAGGAAGTCCATGTACCGCCACTCCAGCAAGCCCCTAGAGTCATTTGAGTTGGAAGGGACCTTTAAAGGTCATCTGGTCCAACTCCCCTGCAAAGAACAGGGAAATTTACAGCTAGATCAAGCTGTTCAGAGTCCTGTCCAGCCTGACCGTGGATGTCTCCAGGGATGGGACATTTGCCAGCTTTCTGGGCAATTTCTCCCTTACATCCAATCTAAATCTCTTCCCTTTTCAGTTCAAAACCATCTCCCCTTGTTCTGTTACAACAGACCCTGTTAAAGAATCTGTCCCCTTATTTCTTGTAGCCCCCCTTTGGACACTGAAAGGCTGCTATCCAGTCTCCCAGGAGCCTTCTCTTTTGCAGGTTGAAAAGTCACCAGCAGTTGTCCAGGGCTGAATGTCCTACCCTGAATCAAGTGCCTTGATCTGTACTAACAGAAGGTAAAACCATTCTGCTAACAGCTGTTTTCTTCCTGTTCAGCTACTTTGGATTGCTCTGTGTATCAGTTGTACACAAAGAAGCTTTCAGATGCCAGACAAATGCACGCAGATTGCATGAGCAGGAACTTGGGCAGCAGTGTAGATATCAAAAGAGGTGGCAGCCCAGGCAGAAGACACTAATCTCTCTGCTATAAAACTGCTCCCATTGGACAATCAGCTCACCTGGAGATCTACTGCTTGCTCAGAAGAGGTTGTTGTAGACTTCTCTGGGTCCAGGACTTCACCAGTGGCCAGCTATGAAACTCAGCAGTGTGACTCTGTTGAAGCAATGGGAAGAAATGAATGTTTGTGGATTTGTACCATTCTCTCTGTCCCACAGACACTAGGCTGAGCATGTGTGATGTGTGAGAGGAGAGATGCTGGCTGTTGTGCTGTACTAGAAAGATATACTACTCTTGATCTCAGATCGAGAACTTCCTACAACCCCAAAGAGAGGTCTCTTCTGAAGTTCTTTGGGTCACCATCAGGCTATGTCAGGGTGTCACAGAGCCATGGCAGGGACACAGCATGGGCACATGGAGTCAGTAAGATGCTGGGTGGGGATCTGGGATGGGAACCAAAGCTGAAGAATTGGCATCGATGGAGTGCAGACCAAAAACAACCCGAGTGATGTCCTGCAACCGTATGTTGAAGGAAGGAATGCAAGGCAGCTGGCAGAGAAGTAGCTCTCCTTCAGAACTACCCAGCCCCATCTGGTGGCAAGGATCAGCAAAACCTCCAAGATAAGAAGGGACATTGTGCTCGCCGTGTGGGCATCAGCTGAATTTCCAGCAGCACTAGGGAGGTGGTATCCGAGGGGTTTTTTCTCCCACCCTGTGTACTGCTGAATCATAGCATCATTCAGGTTGGAAAAGACCTCTAAGATCATCTAGTCCAGCCATCAACCCATCCCCTTCACACCCACTAAACTATGTCCCTAAGGGCCACATCTCCATGTTTCTTGAACACCTCCAGGGATGGTGACTCTATCACTTCCCTGGGCAGCCCATTCCAGTGCCCAGCCTTTTTTTTGGAGGACTAATTTTTCCTAATATCCAACCTGCAGATATCCCCTCTCCTCCTGTAGCCCCTGTTCCAGCCTCCTGGCACATGGTGTCCCTCAGCAACAGAATTTCTTAGGAACAGGCTCACCGAGGGCTTGGTGGTTGCTGGCTACAAGTTTGGTGGCTGAGGAGGTGCCTGCATACTGAACAGGGAGTGGGAAGATGATGGTGCCTAAGCTGTTTTGCTCCTTTCTCCTATCTGCTCCCATCCTCATGGGTCTGTTGTACGTGGCTGAAGCATTTCTGCCCACTCCTTGTCACTGTCACACGGCAAGGTGGGGGTTCTCAGGAGAGACCCCACAGCACGTTTCACCATTAGCAATGAACAAGAACCTGCATGCCACGCTCATAAAAACCTAAACCAGCAGAGGTGACCCACTGTTGCTGTTGCCACCTCACATGCTCACATCACAGAATCACACAGAATCACAGAATGGCCCGGGTTGGAAGGGACCTCAAAGATGATGAATCTGCAACCCCCCTGCCACATGCAGGGCCACCAACCTCCACATTTAATACTAGACCAGGTTGCCCAGGGCCCCATCCAACCTGGCCTTGTTCACTCTTTGATCTCCACAAACGTTCAGCAATCGGCGATGAATGTCAGCGCGTGCCATTTTTTGCCACGGGGAGGAATTCAGTTCCACCCCTTTGCTTCATCCACACTTCCGTGTCAGATGCCATTGTGTCAGTGCTCCTCTGCTGCCATCTGTCACACATGGAATGGCACACGGGTGGGAAGGTTCAACCTGGGAAGGTTCAACCTACTGCCATACCACCACCACCCACCGCTGATGTGTGGGCCAGCGTAATAAAGCAGGAGGCAGGGGGACAACCCTTGTAATACATACACAGTATAACTAAGATACAAGTAACAAAACATTTTAATTTTTAATATTTCTCTTGCAGCAGCGGGTCTTCACACGGGGAAGGACACACGGACTTTGGGTTTTCTCCCCAGGCTCACAACGCAAGCCCACACAGCACCCCAACCAACGCTCCCCTCACAGCCACCACACGGCCGCGCAGCCCGCGCTTCCCGCCCCGCCGTGACGTCATCACCGAGCGCCCGCAGCTCCAGCTCCGTCGGCGCCGCCATGTCCTTGTGGCGGACCCGCCTGGGCCTGGCCGCCGCCGCCGCCGTCAGCTCTGCTGTCCGCGGCCGCCTGCGGAGCGCCGTCCTGCCGGCGGTGAGCGGGAACCCGGGGACGGCAGGGCGTCGGAGGGGCGGAGGAAACGGGAGAAGGGAGGGGGAGGTGACCTTCAGCACCGAACTTGCTGCGTGACCCCTGTGTGAGATGCGCGTCTGTGAAAAATACGGCTTAAGAGCGCTGTCAGCTTTTAATCGTACTGCTGTGTTGTCTTCCAGGCAAGCGTTCACATCAGCTCCCAACGCCCTTTGCAGTATGGCTGGCTGGCTTACATGCTGGGAGAGAGAGCCTCTAAAAAATTTGGCGAATACAGTAAAATCTTCACAGTGGATGGCAACCTGTCGTCCGGGAAGGGCAAGCTGGCACAGCAAATTGCAGATAAATTAGGTATGGCTTTTTAGCTATGGCTTTATTTTCTCTACAGTGTGGCAGAGTGGCTGGAAGACTGTGTGGAAGAAATGGACCTGAGGGTGTTGGTGAGCAGGAGGCTGAGCGTGAGCCAGCAGTGTACCCAGGTGGCCAAGAGGGCCAATGGCATCCTGGCTTGTGTCAGAAATGTTGCAGCCAGCAGGAGTGGGAGGTGACTGTACCTCTGTACTCAGCTCTGGTGAGGCTGCACCTTGAGTTCTGTGTTCAGTGTTGGGCCCCTCACTGCAAGAAAGACATTGAGGCCCTAGTGCACGTCCTGAAAAGGTCAATGAGGTCTTATAGGGAGCAGCTGAGGGAATTGGGGTTGTCCAGTCTGGAGTAGAGGAAGTTCAGGGGAGGCCTTATTGCTCTCTGCAGCTCCCTTTGAAAGGAGGCTGTCAGCCTCTTCTCTCATATAACTAATGATAGGGCAGAGGTGACAGCCTGAAGTTGCGCGGGGGGAAATTCAGATTGAATGTTAGGAACAATTTCTTTTCTGAAAGAATAGTCAAGCACTGGAACCAGCTGCCCAGGGAGTGACTGAGTCACTGTCTGTAGAGGTACTCAAGAAATGTTTAGATGTTGTACTGAGGGATGTGACTTATTGTGGGAATGTTGGCAGTAGGTTGATGGTTGCACTGAATGATCTCAGAGATCTTTTCCAAACTTGTTGATTCTACGAGTCTATGATTTCAATATTTACTGGAATTTAACAGTGTCATTGTGATTCCTGAATGAAAGAAGTTAACCAAAACATCAACTCTTGGCTAGCGAATTATTAGGTAGTGTCACAGTTAATATTAATGGAGTATAGATAGAGGTAGACTAAAGTGCTGGTGAGACTTGAGGTGACAGGGATGTTGTCAGGTCATTGTAAATGACATTTTGATTCCACTAATGTCCATTTAGAGCTTCCGATTGTCATGAAGTCACTAAGCACCTTAAGAGGTTTTTGGGTGGTGGTCTCTGTGATGTGCTCAGAGCATCGATGTTAATGGAGAACTGGTGTGATAAAAGTTCTGCTTAAAACAAATGCTCAACTCACATCATAGAGCTGGAGCAATAAAACTTAATATCTGTGTTTCATCAGCTTTCTGTGAGGTGACAGGCCAGATGGCTTTGTGTGCTGTCTTCAGATGTTATTTAGAGTAGACCTTCATACATAAATGAGAATAGGAGATGCTAATTATAAACAAATACAAGTTACTATTTTGATTGGTGTTCTCTTTTGAGTTTCTGCCTTTTTTGTCAGGAATGAAATATTTCCCAGAAGCGGATATTCATTATCAAGACAGGGTCGCAGAAGACGAGGTGCTGATGGATGAGAGGTTTAATGGCTTCTGTAACCTAGAGAGATTTTACAATGATCCAAAATGCCCTGATGGACACTCTTACAGGCTGCAAGCTTGGCTGTTTGGTAACCGTGTTTTACAGTACTCTGATGCATTGGAGCATTTGCTCACCACAGGTTAGATTTCACACTGAATACATTTCATTTCTATGTTAACTTGAGTGAAAATTCTGTCCTTCACGTGTTTTTAAGTGTTTTGCTGGAATCTGTGTTTTGAAATTAAGACCCTTTTAGTGAGTGTGGTTGTATAACCCATTTAGAAAAATACCTTGCACATTTTGTTGGGACAGTGTCTTGTATTGTTTCTAATGAAGGAATTGCATACTATTTAGCAGTTTCATTAGTTTTAAATGATTGATCCATGTCAAAAACATTTTAAACATACCAACACAGCTGAGAGTTCTGTAGCCTTTTTAAAACTCCCTAGGCATATTTCCTGATGACATCTTTTGTTCTGTCATTTTGATTTCACTAAGTACTTCTTTGTGTTGGTGATTATAACAATTTCTGAGTTATTCTGGTGCGAAAAGCATTTTCAGTCAACACTGATTTTACCTGTTGCTTGTGCTTTAACAGAAGTGTTTTCCAAAAAATAATGAAGTGTGAGTACCAGAAAGCATCTCAAACACAAAAGTAAATGTGCTGCTTAAATATAGTAATCCTTACTTGCTGTAGTGCTAGGCACAGTATGAGTATATATGGATTAGACAGGCATATTTAGCATGCACATCTATGTTTGTGTGAACAGAAAATTCTTTTGTTTTATTTAAAATCTCTTAGGCGAGCTTTCAGAAAATTGTCTGCAAGAACATCACTGTCTGTAAATTTGAATGCTGCTGTCAGGGGTCTGTCTGAGCCCAATCTGACTGGAATATACTTTCAATTGCAGGTCAAGGTGTGGTGATGGAGCGCTCTCCCTACAGTGACTTTGTATTTTTGGATGCAATGTTTAAACAGGGCTATATCCACAAACGATGTAAGTTACTTGCACGAAAAAGGGAAGTTATTTTATCATAATCTCAGCCAGAGTTTAAAAAAAAAAAAAAAGCCTGCTGGAAAGACTGACTACTTTAAATATTTGCTTTTGTTCATGGAGTATTTGGCACCTTGGTCTTTCTTTCATTGAAGACCAATCTCAATCTGTGAGACTTCCTAATCTTTCTTCAAGGCCTCAGTTCTACTTGTATATTCTGAGTATTGCTTACTTGTGTCTTGTCAGCTAGAGACAGCCTTCCTTGATAAGTGTGTGAGCATGCTTATGAAGATGAGTTTTCTATGTGAGATTTTATGTGATATTTTTTCTGTGAATTTTCTATGAGATATCCTTCAGGCAGACCTTGATCTTGCAGCATTAGATATCAGGTAAATCATGGATTATTGGGATTTGGCTTGCTTGCCTTAGATTGCCAGTTACCTTTTGAATTTTGAAGAATGCCTGCAAGAAGTGTAAGGAGGAGGATGCAAGATTACAGACCACTCAGCCTCAGCTTGATCTTTAAGAAGGTAATGAAGCAGTTCCTCCTGGAAGCCATTTTTAAACATATTAAGGATGTAAAGGTGATTGCAAATAGTTGTTATAGTTTTATGAAGGAGAAATTGTGCTTAATTACCTGATAGTCAGCTCCATGCGTCAAGCTAGCTCAGTGGATGAGAGAAGAGCGCTGGATGTTGTTTATCTTGACTGGAGCCAAATGTCTAGGATGTAGTTTTGTGGAGGAGGACCTGAAGTTTTTGATGCACACCAGCATGAACAAGCAGTATGCCTTTGTGGAACAAAAGGCTACCAGCATTCTGGATGCTGCATGAAGAGTGTTGTCAGCTGCTCACAGGCAGTGATGACCGCATCTGGAGTTTTGTGACCAATTCTAAGCTCCCAGTTGAAGATAGACATGGAATTGCTGGAGTAGTCCAGAAAAAGGGTGTGAAGAAGGTCATTAAGAGGCTAGAATGTCTGACATACGGAAAGGCTGAGAGCTGGGATGTTTTCATTTTTGCCTGGAGAAGGTTCTGAGGGGATGAGTGTAAATAGCTGATGGGGGAGGAGGAACCAGTTTTTTCTCAGTGGTATTTAGCAAGAGAACAAAAGGCAAGCAGCACAAATGGGTTACAAGAAATTCAAGTTAAACATCTGTAGAAACTTTTTCTATTGTGAAGGTAGTCAAATCCTGGAGCAGATTGTGCAGGAAGGCTATGGCAGCTTCATGCTTGGAGATGCTCAGAATCAAAGTGGAGATGCAGTCCTGAGCCACCTGCTCTCATTGGTCCTGCTCTGAGTAGAGTGAATGAACCAACTGATCTGCAGATATTCCTTCCAACCACAGGAATTTTCTAGCTTCAGTTTTGGATGCTGAACTTGGGCAAATACATGCAAGTCTGAAGTGTAGAAAATACTAATAAAGCTGAATCTTCATCTGACCCCTAAGTAAAATGCAATTGAAGCTCTTATTTCTGCCATTTCATAGCAAATCTGGCATTTTCCTGAGGTAAAGGTTCTCATTCCTTTGTTTCTCTTGTGCTTCTTGTCCATTTTGGTTTAGATTTAGGATATGTTGTTTTGTTTTGTTTTTTAAACACATGCTGTAAATTGCAGCTTTTTGCTGAATGAGTTTGAGGGCTGGTTATAATGAATTTTGTCCTATTAATTTGCAAGCAAAGCCCAGTAATCTACAATTTAACATAAAATCTAATCAACAAATAACCAGTTGCACCAAAATCCTTAATGTTATTGACAGCTTTTTACTGTGGGAATGGGAATGATAGGCTTTAATGATGGGAATGGTAGGCTTTAAATTTTTTTCACAGGCTCTTTGTGTTGGAAACAACCTGGTGCTGTTTTTAGCTGAGCCAATGAGCTTTGTTGAGAGAAGCTCACACTTCAGCTAGGTTAAATGGAACCTGTGCTATTATTGCCACCTAAATATTGAATAAATGCTTACCCTGAACCTCTACAGGTTCCTAATCACCAAACTGTTACCCAAAGAATGCTTTAAGATGTTGATCTCGTAGAAGAATCTGGTTGTCCTGAATCCTCTTTGTGGAAAAGCCTGCCCTTAAGCTTGGTATATCTACCATGAAGAGGAAACTGCACATAAAATAGTAGGGGATTTGATTTATTTGGAAATAGAATGTGTTTAGCAAACAGAAGAAAAACACTCAAGAAATTATGGGTTATAATTCTCATGCTGTTCC